TTAATTTATGTAATTTATATGTATATTAAAATACTCGTAAATATAAACAGCCTATTTAGTTCCCCTCACTCTACAACAAATATTTTAAATTTAATAGTAACAAGAATAAAAAATAAGTTATTATAAAATTATATATTAAACTATTAAATAAAACACAAATTAGGCTATAGTGGCATTCATTATAAACAGCATACACATGTCAAGCAAAACTGAAACGGCATTGGGCTCACGAGCCTGTCTATATATTGTGTGCGATCCTTTTTATTTTATTCCTTTTATAGACTTAATTTCTTTTTTTTCTCCTTTCACAGAAGCGCTGAAGGTGCATGATGCTGCAGGTGCATGATGTGACGATTGAATCCTCACGGTCTTGTTTATGCTGCTATTCGCGCATATAAAACTAAAGCCCTGTATAAAAGCAAAAAAAAATACAATAAAAAATAAAAAAACATTCTAATCTTACTGGTTAACAATCGACTAATGAGCTTCGTTTGACGGTCAGGAAAATAAAAATGAACAAAATGCTGTAATTCTACAATTCTCCACCAGATTTATATGCTGCACGTATAAATTGAGACTAAAAAAACTTGCGTACACGAGCTGAGACCAGACGTGAGATTTGATCGTAGCCACCGCTCACATCCATATTGATAAATTTCACGTTTTGCATTGAAACGACCGTACGCCCAATTTTCTGTCATACGTTTGTTTCGTAAATGAGGCCCACTGTATAAAGACCTATTGATCTAATTTGTGTTAAATATTATTATTATTTTTTTTTTGTATTTAGGCTGAATAATTGTGAGCTGACAGAGAAAAGCTGTTCAGTTCTAGCTACTGTTCTCTCCTCCAAACCCATCCTAAAAGAGCTAGCTACTGTTCTCTCCTCCAAAACCATCCTGAAAGAGATGAACCTGAACAACAGTCGTCTGCTGAACTCAGGAGTCAAAGAGATCTGTGAGGGACTGAAGAATCCTGTGTGTGAACTGAAGATACTCAAGTGAGTACATTTCACCATCAGTTACACTCAACACAACAGGAATCACAAAATATATTATTTATTAAATCTTATATTAAACCGCTAGGAGAGGACAAAATATA